ATTCAAATTAAGAGAACAATGGATAATAAATAAGGTTAAGATGACAAAATTCATAAATACCTTTTACCTCTCAGCTTTTTCAAAAGGCAAAACACCAGGGAAAAATAGAAGACTCAGGTAAATTCAGATATTACACAGGAGATGTTACTATCTCCCTTAGAAAAACAAGATTATATTTAGAGAAAAGTAATATGAACAGTGTGATTATGTCATTGTATTAGGTAATTCACATGAAATGGGCCAGTATCTGGAAACACAGACTAGACACAAGATAGAAAATAATGTGAAGAGACCTATCACAAGTACAGAGGGTTTCATCAGCAATAATTATCGGCTGCACACCAAGAAGTCTCATGTCCCTGTTATAGTACATTGGAGGATGCTACCAAACACTGGGAGATGTAATATTAGTTCTTCCCCAGTGCTCTAAAACATGAATAGTAGATGCAGTTCTCATCTCATTTTGAGTCAATAGTGAAGTGATACCAAAATTGTACAAAATTATTCACAAAAAATAACAAGGGACTGGGGCTGTGGCTCAGTGGTAGAGTGCTCACTTAGCACGTGCGAGGCCCTGGGTTCGATTCTCAGCACCACATAAAAATAAATAAATAAAATAAAGGTTAAAAAATAATAACAAAACTACTTATTCTGGGCTGGGGATGTAACTTAGTGGTATAGTGGTTTTGCCTATAGTCTATGAGTTTATGTGTTTCATCCCCAGCATGCAAACAAACCAAAAAAAAAGCCATAAAAATTCTTTTTTAAACAAAAATATTTTTTTTTTTTAATTGTAGTTCACTTGGCTTTGTTGTTTCTGGGCCTTTGGTGAGTCAGTGTCATGGTGGGAGTACATGCTTGAGCTGAGCTGCTCACCTCAGGGTGACTGGGAAGCAGAGAGAAAGCACAGAGACAGAAGATACTCTTCATGGTTATACCCTCAGTGACCTGCCTCCCCAACTACCCCACCTGTTAAGGTTTTACTACTTTCCAGCAGCCCATGTGTCATTGCTAGAAACACCGAGGTGCCACAAGAATTCAGGCATGTAGATGGGCATGGCAGACTCTACTCCTGCCAGAAGGGTGTGCCACCAAACCTGGTGGGCAAGTGCTGGGCGGGCAGTCCGCCTGCTTTTATCCCTGACACAGTGTCTGAAAGGCCAAGGTTCGTCGTCGGAGATTAAAATGCACACACACAGATAGCAGTGACAAAGATGAAGTACTTTACTGCAAGCTGGTTCTAGCTTATATAGAAAGTGAGAGTCAGTTATCTTAAACCAGGAAGCTCCCGGGGCCAATCATAGTAAAGGTCAGATCATCACCTATGGTGCACGCACGTCCACCCTGCATAAGATTCATGGGGGGCACGAGCTGTCCATGATCACGGAAGACGGGAGGACCAACTAGAAAATTTTCAAAACAACTTGTTATCCGCCCACTGGCAACTTGCCTGCCGCCATGTTGCATTAGGGGCTCTTTATCTAAAAGGCCCAGGGAGTTCTAGCCGCCCACTGGCAATTTGCCCACCGCCATGTTTGAAAGGTCCGGGGAGTTCTCAGGGAGACTCCCAACAGTGTCCCCCCTTGCCCTGATAGGAGGAGGTCTGGGTTATACTCTATCAGTTGGCTAATTTTAAAATTGGGGTGGGCAAAGGGAAGGGCTAAAGTTAAAATGGGTACAATTGGATCTTACCAATTAAGGCTTGTACTATGTTCTGAAAGTGGACCACCAAACTTTCTGTTTCTCACATTATGAATCTATGTATGGATTAATCCTTTGATGAGGCAGAACCCTCACGATCCTATCACCTCCCAAAGACCTCACCTCTGAATGCTGCTGAACTAGGGACAAAGCCCTCAACATATGAATTTTGGGGGGACATTTCACATCAAGCCATAGCTTAGCATGTATCACTTCCATTTATACACCATTGGCCAACCAAGGCAAATGGAAGATTATAAATGATCTTTGAGTTTCACTGTGAGGGGATCTGTAATCCTTTGTCATAGAAAACCACCACAGTTAATACTATGTAAGAATCGTGCCCCACCCCCACCAGCCCCCCTCTATGTGGGAATCTTATTCTAAACCCAAATATGATTGTATTTGGAGATTGTGAGAAACACACTCACCTGTCCAAACCCAAAGAATGGATTGAGAGACAAAGGTGTGGAGAAAGCAAGACTTTAATGATGATCTTGCAGGATCTGGTGTCTGAGGGAGCAGGCACACCCAGAGCAGTTGCAATAAGCATTTTATCCCTTAGTACACAAGCCCCTCCTTGCCCCTGCACCCCAACTGTGGGGTATGCCATCACCTAGGTTTTACTGTCTCCTATTGAGTTTTTTAAAGAAATGCGTCTTTAATTGTCCCCCACCTCCCTTTGTTCTCTTGTAGCTGGAAAGCCTTCTTAAGGTGAGTGCATCTTGCAGTTTACCTCTCTGTTGTTTCAGCAGGCCCTTTCCCCTCACCTCCTATCTGTAAAGGGACTGTGAATTGTCCACACTCTAGTGTTACCTGCTTGTAACTTTCCATTCTGTTCTCTCCTGCTGCTTTTCTTACCTCCCGAATTTATATTCAAGGCTAAATACTGTATTTTGAAAATGGACCAACAGACTTTCCATTTCTCATGGAGATGTCATTTGGGAGATAGTTATGGTAAAATGAAGTCCTCAAAGTGGGTTATAGGATTGATGGTGTTGAAAGGAGATGGAATTCTCTCTCTTCTTCCAGGAAAGGATATGTGTAAGCCAGGAGGAGACCACACCAGGAACTGAATCAGCTGGCTGCTGGACCTGGGTTCCCAGCCTGTAGAACTGCCAGAACCAAGTTCCACTGGAGCAGCTCAGTCTGTGGTATTTGTCTTGGAGTCCCAGCCGCTGATGCAGGAAGGGACACAAAGATTGCTTATCATACATTATCTGTGTTTGCCTGCTTACTTTCTCATAGCAACTTTGAATCAACTTGTTTGCATCTACAAGTGTGTAGTTTGTATGAGATAATCACAGTGACTGGCTTAGGGAACACTGATATCCCTATGAACAATTTTACTGTTTATGAATGTCTTTTTATTTGCTTTTTTTCATCTTCCATTTTTATTCTCCTCTCATCCACTTGCCTACCTTTTGTTGTCTTGCTGGAAGATTTTTCTTTTTGATGTTTTTATTATTTTATGGATGTTGTACATACATACAGACTTTAATATGTGGTATATATAGTCTTCTACTTTATTGAATATTACTATTTTGAGTCACTTTTCAGGAGATTCTTTTACAATCTTCACTTTTGTTTTTCCCTTTTTGTTTGTATGAATGCCTCTCAAGTAGCACTCAGTGCTGTGATGATGGAGAATGCTTCTCTTCCCTGTGTCCACTTGAACTGTCATGCTGCCTTGGGTCTAAGACACATATGTTCACATTCAGGTCATGCCATCATATTGAAGGTGCTCATTACAAGTGGGATATTATTTTTAAAGACACTTCCTCAGAGTCTATAATGGGTGACATTTGGTTTTCCACAGAGCTATGTGTATGATGAAATACATTAATTTATTTCTTAATATTGAACTTGGCTTTAATGCAGAAATACATTTTAAATGTTCTTCTGCAGTTCTCATGTCTTTATCTTCCCACCAAATTCTTCTTTCAACTTCTAGGTTTTCTCCAAGCCATTTCATCCACTTAGATGGCTTCAGCAGTCCCTGAGGTCTTGCTGCTTTCTGAATTTTTATATTTACCTTTGACCTCTCTTCTGAGTTGTGGACCATGCATCCACTTACCAGGTGGGCACCCCTACACATCTGATCACAGGGACTTCGAACACAGCATGTCTGAGGTCAGACTGCCCATCATGGCCATTGTTGTGTTTTCCAGTCTGGGTCTACACAGCTGCTTGTACAGATAGCTTGGAAGTAAATGCCTATTTTTGCAGTAGGCATTTACTTCCAAGCTAAAATTAGTACCGTGTTCTATTTCTACTTTTTCCTTTCTTTTTTCTTTTTCTAGGGTGAGTTCTCTATGCTGCATTCTTAATGCTCTGTTCCCTGGTATAGGTGGTCATGTGTCACCAGTTTCTTCTCTGACTCTCCTATTAAGTTTTTCCATTCTCTTTAGGGGAACATTTCAAAAATGCAGATCTGTTTAATCTAGAATGAAAATACAAGACTGCCTGTGAGAGTATTTTAATTAAAAAATTTTAGATGTTGATGGACCTTTATTTTATTCATTTGTTTATATGCGGTGCTGAGAATCGAACCCAGTGACTCACACATGCTAAGCAAGCATTCTACCATTGAGCCACAACCCCAGCCACAACCCCAACCCCTCCATCCCCCACTGTGAGAGTACTTTATAATCTATCAGTAGTTTCTAAGAAGAGTGAGCACATGAGATTTTAACTGTTGGAATTAGGCAAAACATTTATATTCACATCACTAGGTTGTCAGTCCCCGACACACTTGCTGCCTTTACCACATGTCACAGCCTAGGCAGCCTCACCTAGACTGACACCACTGTAGTTCCGTTAGCCTGGCGTGGGTTCTTTGTAATTTCACAGTCTGATTCCAGGGCCAGGACACATTCATTTAAGTGAAATACATGCTGGGAACATGGAACAATCTGCTTTTCCTCTTCTTCCCCACCCTATCTTTCTACAAATATGTGGCTTAGTTTATTTAACACAGTGTTTCAAGTATGTGTTCATATTGAAGTCTTTACACTAGATTTATCTATTTTTAGGAAAAGAACTTTTTTCATCACGTTTCTGCTGTGAACAAGGACACTTCTAAATCTATAAAGGAAATTCTATAATAGTGATGTAGGATTACCAAATTAATACAAAGACAAGGTATTTTTATTGGTATTTTCCTCTCCCATAATACAAATCAAGCTGTATCTTATAAAAGACATATGTAAGACACACATTCACACAATAGTGAATTCTGTATTTCTGTTCTGACCCAGGGTGGAGGGCTTGGGTTGAGGAGACATGTTCCATTACAGGGGATGGTGTCCTTCAAGTACGTGTCTGTGGACTTCACTTGGGAGGAGTGGCAGGACCTGGAGGAGGCTCAGAGGACCTTCTATAGGGATGTGATGCTGGAGACCTACAGCAGCCTGGTGTCCTTGGGTGAGTGAAATGCCCCAGTGATCTTATTAGAAGCAATTTCATTGTCAGTATTTAGAGGAATCATTTTTAAATTTTAATACTACTATTATCTTATTTTTATCTATCTATCTATCTATCTATTTATTTTAATTTTGGGTACCAGGAATTGAACTCAGGGGTACTTGACCACTGAGCCACATCCCCAGTGCCCCCCACCATCCCAGTCCCCCAACTTCCTTTTTATTGAATTTTATTCAAAGACAGGGTCTCACTGAGTTGCTTAGTGCCTTGTTTTTGCTGAGGCTGGCTTTGAACTTGTGATCCTCCTACCTTAGCCCCCCAAGCTGCTGGAATTACAGGTATGCGCCACCTCCTGTTACAGGTGCACCTGTAATTACCACCACATGCATTACCATCTCTTCTCCACTCTCCCTCCCACACAGCCTTTCCATGCTCCAGTAACCACCATTCTCTGTATCTTTGAGATAAACTTTAGCTTCCACTAATAAATGAGAATATGCAGTATTTGTTTTTCTGTGCCTGACTTATTTTACTTTACATAAATGTCCTCCAGTTCCATTCATGTTGCTGCAAATGCATTTTTTTTAATTTTTTAATATTTATTTTTTAGTTTTCGGCAGACACAACATCTTTGTTTGTATGTGGTGCTGAGGATCGAACCCGGGTCGCACGCATGCCAGGCGAGCGTGCTACCACTTGAGCCACATCCCCAGCCCTGCAAATGCATTTTTAAAAAACTGAATAACAGTCCCGTGTGCATACATATCACAATTTCTTTGCCCATTCATCTAAGATGGACATCAGAGTTGATAACCTATCATGGATTTTGTAAGCAGTGCCACAGTAAATGTGCAAGTGCAGGTTCCTCTTCAAAACAAGGAATGAGTTTTCCCTGAATACATATACACCATACTGCTATAAATATGGTCATTCTGTTTCTAGGTTTTAGGGATCTGCAGACTATTTCTCATAGTGGCTGCACCAGTTTGCACTTTTAGAACCAGTGTGGAGGTTTTCCTCTCAGTGCCTCCTGGCCAGCTTTTTGTTCTGTGTCTTAATAATGAGCACCTAAAAGTGGTGTCATGATGGCTTGTTTAGGTTCTGATCTTTCACCTGGTAATTATGGTGTTGAACATTTATTCCTGTGCTCATGGGTATTTGTGTGTCCTCTTGAGAATGCCTGTTCAGGTTATTTGTCTGGTTTTTAACTATATGATTTTTTTTTTTTTTTGCCATTGAATTGAGTTCCTTATTTTTTCCAGAAGTTAATCCCTTTTCAGATAGTTTGCAAATATTTTCTTCCATTCTGTAGGTTAAATTTTTACTCTAGATAGTTTGAGCTTCCACTCTGGATAGTTCTTAATATTAAATGCATTCCTGCATTAAATACACATAAGAACTTTCACTGTAGATAATACATTTTAAAAGTTCTTCTGCAGTTCTCTTGAGAAACGTCTGAGATTCTTATATTTTCCAGAAGGCAATCCCTTGTCATTTTGCAAATATTTTCTTTGCAGTGTTTAGTTTGTAAACTCCATTGGTTAATTTTTGCTTTTGTTGTTTTTTTTTTTGCAAGATCAATGCCTGTGTTTCACTGGTATTTTCCTCTAGTAGTTTAATCATTTCAGGTCTTAGGTATTAAGTGTTTGATCCACTTTGTTGATTTCTCTGTATGGTGAGAATGGGGTCTAACATTGCATATGGATGATCAGTTTCCCACAATTATTGATGAGCTTACTTTCTAAACATATGTTCTTGCTACTTTGCTGAAAATCAGTTGGAGATTTTATATATATATATATATATATATATATATATATATATATATATATATATCTTAATAATGGTTTAATATTGGTTTCTGTTATGTTCCATTGGTCTGGAGTCTGTTTATGCCAGTACCATGCTGTGGTTTAATATTTTTAGTTGTAGATGGACACAATATCTTTATTTTATTTATTTATTTTTTTGTGGTGAAGAGTGAACCCAGTGCTTCACACCTGCTATAAATACTCTTATCTATCACTGAGCTACAACCCCAACCCACCATGCTGTTTTGATTATTATCCCTTTGTAGTTTGTTTTGAAGACAGATATTAGAATGATTCCAGCTTTGTTGTTTTTGCTTAAGTGTGCTTTGACTATTTGAGGTCTTTTGTGCTTCCATATGATGTTTAAGACTATTTTTCTAGCTATGTGAAGAAAAGTTATATGAGGATTACATTGAATATGTCAATTGCTTTGGGTATTAAGGGTTTTTAGCAATATTAATTCTTCCAATACATGAAAATAGGATGTATTTCTTTTGTGTGTCCTCCTTAATTTATTTTCATCAGTGTTTTGAAGTTTTTGTTGTAGAGATCATTCACTTCTTTCATTAAATTTATTCCAAGGTAGTTTTTTTAAAATTAACTATTGTAATTGAGATTTCTTTCATGTTTTCTTTCTCAACAATTCTGTTTTTGATGTATAATAAGGCTACTGATATTTGTTTGTTGACTTTGTACTATCCAACTGAGGACACCACTGCATTCATTATCAGTTCCTGCATTCATTTATCAGTTCTAATAGTTTTTTTTATTTTGGAGGAATTTTTGTATACAAATCTCTGTTTTTTCTGTATACAAATTCATGGTGTTTGCTAATAATTAGTTAACCTCCTCCTTTCCTACTTGGATGCCCTTTCTTTCTTTCTCTCTTCTTACTGTTTGAGTAAATGTGTTCAGTCCTGTTTGAAGAACAATGGAAGCCAACACCTTGCCTTCTTCCAGATCCTGCCAGAAACAATCTGAGGCTTTCCCTGTTCAGTATGATGTGGGTTAGGATTTAATATGCAGCTTCTGTGTTCAGGAACATTACTTTTATCTCTAGCTTTTCAAGGGTTTTTATAATAGAACTGTGTTGAATTTTATCAAATACTTTTTCTGGGTCTGTTGACATATATGAGTTTTTTTGGTGCTGAGGACTGAACCCAGGGGCACATAACCACACAGCTGCATTCCCAGACCCTTTTTTTGGTATTTTATTTAGAGACAGGGTCTTGCTGAGTTGTTTAGGGCCTCACTCAATTGCTGAGGCTGGCTTTGAACTCAAGACCCTCCTGCCTCTGCCTTACAAGTTGCTGAGATTATAGGCTGCCACCATGTCCAGCAAGATATATGATTTTTAATCCTTCATTCTGCCCCAGTACACTGTTACAGACCATAATAATTTTGCAATGAAATTACATGTATCGACTTTCATATATTGAACCATCTTCCATTCCTGTGGTTCACATGGGGTCATGATTTTTAAACCTTGTGCTGTGCTGATGGATTGAATTTGCTAGTGCTTTACTGAGAATTTTAAATCTATGGTCATCAGGCTATTTGTGTTCTTGTGCAGGTTTTGATATTAGGGCAATGCTGGTCTCATAGGATACATTTGGAAGATTTTTCCTTTATTTCAATATTTCCAAATAATTTGAGAAGAATTGACAGTTGTTCTGTAAACTTTTGATAAAATTTAGGAGTGAAGCCATTTGCCCCTGGGCTTTAGTTTGTTGGAAGTCTGTTCCTGATGTACATCTGTTCTGTTAAGGTTTCTAGGTCCTTATGGTTCAATTTTGGTTGTTATGTGTGTCTGGAAATTCATTCATTTCTGGATTTTCCAATTATGAGTGTGTGGTTTTTCAAGATATTCCGTAGGGATCTTCAGCTGTTGTATTAGTTGTAACATCTGTTTTTTTCATTATTGCTTTATTTATTTGGATCTTTTCTCCTGGTTAGTATAATTAAAGGTTTGTAAATTGTATTTTATTTTTAAAAATCAACTCTTCATTTTATTGATCCTTTGGTTATTTGCTTATCTCAAATTATTTTATTTAATGCATATTTACTTATTTTTATGTGGTGCTGAGGATTGAACCCAGTGCCTCACATGTGCTAGACAAGTACTCTACCAACAGATTGATTTCAATATACCTTGGAGAGGATCTTTTTTGGTCAAATTTATTAAAATTCTTTGATCTTCCTAGCCTTGGATGTTCACATCTTTATCATAATTTGAAAGCTTTCAGCATTTATTTCATTTAATAAGTTTAGAAAATATCTTTTCCTTTCTCTTTGGAAACACCTATAATGAAAATGTTTCCTTGCTTTATGATGTCCCCTAAATTTTAAAGGCTTTCTTCATTCTTTTAAATTTATATTCTTTTTAGCTGACAAGATTATATCAAAACCTGTCTTCATCCCTAGAAATTCTTTCTTCTGATTCTAGTTCTGTTATTGAAACTTTGAACTGTAATTTTGTATTTAATTAACTGAATTCTTTCTTTATTTCCTCTGATTTCTGATTGGTTCTTTTTTATTTCATCTATGTCTTTGTCCAATTTCTTCTACATATCATAACGTGTGTTTCTAACTTCTTTTATTGTCCATCTGTATTCTTCTGTCTCCTCAGTTTTCTTAAAAATCATCCCTTGAATTATTTCTCCAGCTGTTTAATTCTGCCCCAGTACACTGTTCCAGACCATAAGAATGTGAGTGAGACACTCATCGTTGCACAGCTCCTGAGAGGCTGTGTCATCCCTAAGTGCACCTGACAAGCAGCCTGGCACAAATCTTTCACTGTTTTCTGTTAACAGGGCACTGCGTTGCAAAACCTGAGGTGATCTTCAAGCTGGAGCAAGGTGCTGGGCCGTGGACAGTAGGCGAAGCCCCGCACCAGTGCCTCCCAGGTCAGTCAGTGCATGCTGCGCAGGGTGCCACGTTGAGCTGTTTTCATCTGTGTTTCCTCAGGTCCCAATCCTAAGGAAGCGGGGCTTGTGTGTCAGCCCCTTCCTTTGTACAGTCTCCAAGGAGTACTCTCTCATGTACACCCATGTTTATGTTCTCATAATGTATACTTCATTCAATTTTCCCAAACCCCCACCCCCCATATGGATCTTCTTGACATTTTGATTGGTTAGGTACTTTTTGTAAATTCTCACTTTTTCTTTTTTCCTCCATCTTCATAGCCTCTTTTTCAAGCATTCATTTATGTGCTGAATTTTTCAGTACTTGTTGTTGATCTCTCATAAACACCATCCTTTTTATAATTGTGGGAACAACAGTAGTAAATTAAACAAATGAATCTCTCAATAGAGCTTACATTTTGTTGAGACTGAAATTAAATACATTTATATTTGGTATTAAGAACACAAATAATATTTTACCTGGATAAGAAAAAGAAAAAAAAATAGGAAAGGTCTAAAAAGAAGGCAGCTTCAAGGGGGTTATTATTTATTTACTTGAGCTTTTTTGAGATGACTATTTTCTAAGGTGTTATTTTAGGAAAGGTCTAAGGAGAAGACAGTTTTAAGGAGATAATTATTTGTTTGCTTTAGTTTAATTTTGAGATAACTATTTTCTAAATGTGATACATGCTACAATAGATGGATATAAAATCTAGACTTGAGAATGGTCATTGTATTGAAGAAACAAATTTGGAAATCAGCAGCTTAAAACAAATATTTAAATAATGGTCATTACAAGGACTTAGAGAATTGATATGGAACTGCAAAGAGAGACCAAGAATCAAGCCTCAGGTGGCATCAGAACCCACGTGACTGAGGAGAGCTGGCACAAGAGCATGCAAAGGGCTGGCCCTTGGCTCAAGTTGACAACTAGAGGCCAGGTGGCTAAAGGCTCAGATTTTGTGTGGGAGTTTTATTTCTAGTTAGCCATTTGCCTTTCTCTTTGTGGATATAATCCTAGAATAATGAACACAATTAATTTGTATAGGACATTCCATTTTCTATCAATTAGAGGCAGTTGAACCTTTAAGCACAAAAGAAGTCTGCCAAAGCAGTGAGTTACCAAGCTGGGTGCATGTGCCTGAAACTAAGGGGGAAGTTCCAGGGCTACTGATCTGAAGTACCAGAAAGACATACATTTCAAAGATGAAGGGCACAGCGTGGATTGTAGAACCAAGTCGTTTAGTTCCATCAGGAAACATACTGCAGATTTCTGTACCCTTTATGGTTAATTCAGGTAAAATTAGGTCTTTGGAGGAAGCAATCTTCTAGAGTAGGGAAGAAGGCAATTTGTGCTTGTACAGCCCCCTAGATGTCTATCCCCTTTCCCCTGGAGGAATAAAGACTAAACAAACACAGATACCAATCCTTTTGTGGTCAGATGGCAGACAAGTGAACTGTGCATGCATCCCAACAGCAGGTAATCCTGGAATTCTTCCATTCCATATCTGAAAAAGCAGTGAAGTAGAGGAGATCACCTCTGTTGTCATCATAAGAAAAAACTAAAGCAAACAAATAGACAAAAGAAATGGTAGATGAAAAGAACTCTGTTAAAACTCACAGCTAAACAGTAGGTTAATGTTTTAACTAAGTGTATCTGCATCTTTTAAAGAATAGAACAACTTAGAGCAACAAAGGCAAACATCATATGTTATTATTTATTAAGTTACTTTTTTTTGCCATTCCTTCAGTAAGGACAAAGTCCCACAATTCAATATAATTATTTTGCAATCTTGTGTCATCAGGATAAGGAGCTTCTTTACCTTTGTTTTAGAATTCTGTAAGAAAGTTTCACGTGTTGTTAATGAATATGGTGATTTGTATATAATTTTAGATGAACAGAAAGTGAATGGTCTGAATGAGACAAGCCAGGAAAAGCAAGAGAGACATTTCTGGCAAATTGGACTCCCCAACAGCAGCACCTCAACTGAGGAGAAGTTCACATTAGGAACAAGGTTTAATTTGAGCTCAAAGCAGGTTTCAAGTCTAGCTCCAAAGAGTGGGCCAGAGGGGCTTGATGTGTGGTAGAAGGAGCTTCTCCCTAGTGAGCCTGAGGAGGTGCAGGCTGGAGAGGAGCCTAGTGGTCTTAACATTCCTTAAAGAAACCTATTATCAAAACCCAAATATGAATCACCACTCCCCCCACACCTGTCTTCTGTTAGGTGGGTGTAGAGGAGCCCTGGAATGTACATCAACAGTCATCACAGAGGAAAGAGGGCCAAGACTAACTACAGAGGCTGGACAGAGGAGGACCCAGGAGGGTTTCCCTGAGGATGGCCCACAGGAAGCAAGTGTGAGGGCTGAGGGAGGAAGAAGGTGGTGCCCTGGGAAGTGGAGGTGGGATCGAAGAGTCTGAGGAGATATCACTGAACACCTTTTGCTTCATTGTGATCCACATTTCTTTGTTTCCTTTTTGAGCACAGGGAGGGCAAAAGGTTCTCCTGACATCTGGTTTCAGCTGGTACCTGCTCTCCCTCCAAAGAGAACCTGAGGGCTGTCTCAGCTCACGGAGAATCCCTGTCCTCTCTGCCACTTTCTAGAAGCCACAGACTTGTTAGATGGTCTGTGTCTACTTAGGAAAAATTAATAAACTGGTAAACTTCTGCTCAACCAGTTCAGTGGATAAAAAGACAAGTTACAGCTGGGCGTGGTGATGCTTGCCTGTAATCCCAGTGGCTCTGAAAACTGAGACAGGAGGATCATGAGTTCAAAGCCAGCCTCAGCAAGTTAGTGAGACACTAAGAAATTTATTGAGACCCTGTTTCAAAATAAAATACTAAAAAAGGAGGCTTGGAATATGGCTAGTGGTTAAGTGCCCCTGGGTTCCATCCCCAATACCAAAAATAAATAAATAAATAAATAAATATATAAAATAAATAAAAATAAAAAGACAAGTTAGAGAATGAGAGAAAATGCAAGCAAGTGGCCATGCCTGTCTTCCCAGCTACTCAGGAGGCTAAGACAGGAGGATCACCTCAGCCTCAGCTCTTAGTGAGACTCCCCGTCTCAAAAAAATAATAATAATAAATATAAAGGACTGGGATGTAGATCAGTGATAAAGTGCCCCAGGTTTAATCCACAGTATCTCCACATTAAAAAGAAAGAAAAAGAAAATGCAAACCACACTTTGAGCAAAGGACTACTACCTTGAGTGTTTAAGGTATTCTTAAAACTCTACAATGATGAAAACAGACAGTCCTTTCAGAGAATGGCAAAAGAATTGAGAAGACTTGATTAAAGAGAATATAATATAAAGGGAGGTCATTCAACATCCTGGGGATTCCTGAACTAAGATGAGTGAGCAAATGGTCAAGCCAAGAGACTAGTGCATCCAAGGCCCAGGACAACACTTAGCAAAGAAAAATAAATTGTCAACACACAGGAGTGTCGCGACCCCTTGCCCGCAAGGAAGACGCAACTCGGGAATCTTCTTTCAACAGTTTATTCAGGCCCTGGATATTTCTTCTTCTCTCTCCCGGATGCCCCTCCCAGCCTTAATAAAGCATCCCAAGCCCCAATGCAAAGCTGCCGCGTGGAGCTTTCTCACAGGGTGGTGTACAGGGTGGTGAAAAATCATGTGCCAACTCTCCCAGATAAGGAGTTGTTTGTCACAGACCACAGCGGAGCCAGCGTCATCTTGTAATGGCGACCATAATCTGCAGAAACGGCAGAAGCAGCTCACCACACAGGAGTTTGGATGATTCCTCAGAAATTCACACTAAAAAATACAAAAGCTTACACACTGCCTGAGTCTAGTCAAGCAACACCGGTGAGATGATCAGATGATACAGCGGAGGGCAGCATCAAGGCTGTCAGCGGTTAAGGATGTGGCAAGGCTGGTGAGGGGCAAAGGTGACAACAAGAGGAAGACAGGAGTGGCCCTCAGCACTGGAGGCCTTCTGCATCCTGACTGCAGCTGTGAGCACCTGATGAGGCCACAACACAGGGTTTCAAGAGGTCAACAGGGAAGGCTGGGTAAAGGGCACAGAGGTCTCTCATCGCCATTTCTAACTTGGTGTGTAACTGAAATTACCTCAATATAAAACATTTGATTCTTTTGAAGAGCTCAGGCTTCAGGACAAAGCTAGATGACTATGCAAGTCACTTCCCTGCTCATGGGGTGAAAAGGATTGAATTAGTAAGAGCTGAATGGTCCAAGAACAGAGCTTAGTGCAGAGGAGAGCTCCCAGGTGGCTGTCAGAGATGGGTCTTCTTAGGGTGCTCTCTTTTTTTGAACTCTTAAAAAAATCATTTTAATGATCCTCTACCATACAAAATTTATTCAAATTACATCTATTTGAAGTGGTAAGATCACAGCTAGAGAACAGGTCACCCGTATTGAATCTATTTACAAAATCCATCATAAAAGCTTTTGTGTTGTTGGTGTTTTCTTTTTAACATTATATTACATGTTTTCTTTTGTAAACTAGTGTAGAACACAAAGCTAAACTGATTGTAATTTGCCTACTCCAAGTCTTGGGAGAAATACTTCCTTTTTTACAAAATGGCATACCCCATATGAAGAAACCCCCTCACCCTGACACATACCACCTGACCTGCTCCGTACGGCCCCTTCCTCCAGATGCTCTGCACCCCCTCTTGGCCCTGGCATGCAGAGTTCTTCCTTCCTCTTTCCCAAAAGCTAAAGCTTTAAACACTACAATTCTATTTATAGATCCACACATATGAAAACAAGAACCACATGAAATACAAAAACAAGGTGACATTCTTAAAAAAACTACAAACCAGCTAGGAAATATTCTGGTAGGGTTTACAAATTAATTACTATTTTTGTACAAAATTGCTAAATAATGAAAAGGTGAGTCAATTACATGTCCACTTAAGTAAAGCGATTGCTATACATAACTCTGTACATATGAACACACGCCTAACACTGTTTGACAGCTCATGTGTTGGCTGCTGTACACTCTTATTTTCTAAGGCTCATGCAGTCATAATCCACACTTGTAACTCTTAGCCAATTTTTTAATTAATTAATTTATTTCAATTAGGTATATATGGCAGAAGAATGCATTTTGATTCATTGTACACAATTACAGTACAACTTTTTATTTCTCTGGTTGTACATGATGTAGCATCATACCATATATACAGTCATACATGTACCTAGGGTAATGATGTCCACTCATTCCACCATTTTTTTCTGCCCCCATGCACCCTCACCACCTTCCCTCCCCTTTGCCCAATCACAGTTCCTCCATTTTTCTCATGCCTCCCCTGACCCCATTATGGATCAGCATTCATTTATTAGAGAGAACATTCAGCCTTTGGTTTTTTGAGATTGGCTTACTTTGCTTAGCATGATATTCTCCAACTCCATCCGTTAACCTGCAAATGCCATAATTTTATTCTCTTTGAATGTTGAGAATGTTCCATTGTGTATGCATACCACAGTTTCTTTATCCATTCATCTATTGAGGGGCATCTAATTTGCTTCCACAGTTTAGTTATTGTGAATTGAGCTGCTATGAACATTGATGTGGCTGTAATAGTATGCTGATTTTAAGTTCTTTGAGTACAGACCAAGGAGTGGGATAGCTGGGTCAAATGGTGTCTATGATATTTTGACTTTTACTGACATGTATACTCAATTAATTTAGTATGATGACCATACTAAATTTTATACTTAATAGACATGGACATTCATGTTTTATTCCTTACTTATGAAAACACATTATATCTCCAATACTTAAATTTTTTCTCTACTATCAAGTTGTATTTACACATTTTTAAAATTTTTTTTTCGTTGTTGATGGACTTTTATAATCACTTATTTGTAAGTGGTGCTGAGAATCTAACCCAGTGCCTCACACATGCTAGGCAAGCATGCTACTGCTGAGCCACAACCCCAGCCCTTGTATTAACACATTTTTTAGCACCAATTGATTTCCACATGCTTCATGATGGACAATTATCTTTGTTATATCAGGTTGTAGTGGCACACCCTTTCTCCATAGAAAAGTCTTAACTGGGCTTCTCCAGAAATCTTCACCATGGCTGATTTTAGGACTGTCAGGAAAAGAGTCTCTTTAAAGGGTTTAATGTAGGTAAACTTCCAATTTTCGTTTTGCCCTGTTTTACTTGCCACTGGCTGGGAAGAAATATAGAGAAGAAGCTCTCCCCTTCTCAGGTGTTGTTCTTGAAACTTGCACAAATAGTGAAAGAAAGGAAAAAACTGCTTTTATGTGAACTTCTGCAGACTGTAAACTTCTGAGCCCCTCCCCTTATATGCTGGGTATAAAATTCTAAAACTACCTAAACTTGGGGTTCAGGGGAGTGATTGATTACAGCAGCAGCTGTGCCCTCTGAACCTGGCTGCAGCTAAATAAAACTGTTTCATGCTATCTTCGGTGCCTTGCCTCATCTGTACCTACAACAAGGTTATACATTTCTTTTCTTCCTTAATTTCTACATTCCTCTTGTAGATGGATTAAAGGTGTATACAGATAAAAGTAAACAAAGAAAAGTAATATCTGTTCGTATTAATGATAAATTGACTAATTATTATACCCTACCTCAAATCTCTCCACAGCAGGTTGAGTTAGCTACAATTGTCCTGGCACTGAGACTATTTTCTACTACTTTAAACATTATTACAGATTCTCATTCTATAACTAAAATTGTTCCTCGTATTTGTATATCTATATTATGCCCTCATTTGGATTCCAACTTACTATCTCTTTTTTTAACCCTTTAAACTATTTTACAGTGTCATATGCCTTCTATCTTCCTCTCTCATATACACAGCCACACCACGATTCCTGGACATTTGATGGAAGGTAATGCTCATACAGATAAAGCTGTAAAATCCCTTTGTCCTTTATCTTCAGATACTGTAAAATCCTATGGATTTCTTCATCAAAATGCTTGATCACTAATAAAAATGTTTTCCATCTCTTCTTAACAGTTCATGCTACAGTCAACAACTGTCCCCACTTTTCGGGACCCCATGTAAAACTCTGTAAATACACAAGTCCTATGTTCTAATACACTTTGACAAATGAATTTTACCCATTTCCCTCTTTTTCATTCTTACTTCTTTCTTTCTTTCTTTTTTAAAAAAATATTTTACTTTAGTTGTGTTGGATACAATATCTTTATTTTATTTTTATGTGGTGTTGAGGATAGAACCCAGTACCCTGCATGTGCTAGGCAAGCACTCTACCACTGAGCCACAACCACAGACTCCTTACTCCTTTCCTCACATTTTTATTGATGCTCTTTCTAAGTTCATCTGGGCTGGTGCCCAAAAGTCTAATGAGGTATCTATTTACATTTATCATTTATTACTTTGTTTTGCCACCATGGACAAGCCTATTCATTTAAAAATGGATATGCCCTACATGTATATCTCATGCTTTTACATAATTTTGTAATCAATAAAATATAATTTTAAATCATAAAATTTGTCATAATCCTACCAGACAGGCTTTGGTTAAACAAACACATCGTACTCTTAAAACTTGCCTTAAAAAAAGGAAAGAAAGGGGATCTAGCCTCTCTCATATTAATAATGCTTTAGATGTTGTTTTATTTATAGTTAATGCACTCAACATGCAATACAAAGTTTATATTGGTTATCACAATTGGTTATCTGTTTTAGATAGACATTTTATTCCCAAACAGCCATCACCAAAAATTTATGTAATATATAGGTTTCTACCAGACAAAGGACAACAAGATCCTATGCCTCTGATCACACAGGGGAAAGGATAGACTGCTATGCTTACACCAACAGGACCAGTTTGGATTCTAGCTTGATGTGTGAGATTTATCAATTATAAATGGAGATCAGGAACCTGATTCCCAAGTTCTGTTTGATTGTGGATGAGGAGAATCCCACATGATCACTCTCCTCAAAATAAACAATATACTGAAAGAGGATCCCAAGATACTAGACTTCCAGTGACTTGGGGGGATATAAAATCATTAACAACATCAGTGATAGACCCAGCCTGATTCCCTCTTAAAATTGGGAGACATCTTGCCACAAAGCCATGAAAAGCTAATTTTGGCTTTACTATAAATTACTACAAATTCCGAACTTGCTTGGAATGCCTGCCTGTGCCTTGAACTCACCCATGCCTGGCTCTCTCTGACCAGATAGCAGCTCTCTCTAAACTTTAGTGATGCCTCACAAATCTTGGCCTTCCCTAGCCAGATAATGACCCTCTCTGAGGCTATAATGACCTTCATAAATTCTGATCTCAGGGCCAGCAAAAATGTAAACTAGCCTTTGTATTATGCTCTTTAGAGTTTTGTTATCTGTAACCCCCTTTGTGTAACTTTCTGGGCAACTGGCTCCTGCTGAGTATCTGTGCCTCCTGGGGAATTTCTGTCCCTGATGAGGGAGGAAGTGAGTAGAGTATAAAGCTGGGCTGGAAGAAAGCTGCAGTGCTGTCTTGTTCCCATGGTTTTTGGTGAGAGAGGCAGCCCAGCCAGTGGAAATAATAAGCTTGCTTTAATTTGATTTTAACTGGAGTCTTTTCTTTGCATCCTGGTCTAACATCAGCTCCACAGTTGTTGGTTCAAATGGGGTTAAAATGTACTCCAGAAGACTTATTACTTCTTTGATTGCTAAACTCAAACAAAATTCTGTAAATGCTTTAGTCTTATGATAACATTGTTCTGTTGTTGTACCCCAGCTGTGGAAATTCAGTACAGTCAGACTCCTTGACTTCCAAAATTCAATAATATCTGGGTTTACTTGGCTAAAATTGTTATATACCTACAAAAATATCTCATGGTATTCATTGTTGTCTTAGCAGACTGTGTTCTTACTATCCCCATAGGATTTAATAGGCCACCATCCAGTGCAATGTATCTATAAAGGTCTATTCCCCTTGAAAAAACTGTGATAATTCAGTAAACCTTCTCTCTAAGGCAAAACTTAACATTTTCCTTAGTGAGTATCCCTGGACTAGCTGTTAGGGCTTCCAAAACAACTAAAAAACTGGCCTGTGCTATGATAAAAAAGCATATCTCTATGGCAATTAATATGCTTAATGTAGAACAAAACAACACCATCAAACCATACTTGATAATCAGGCTACAATTGATTATTTTTTATTATTACATTATAAGGATGTCAGGAATTCAATAATATGTGTTGCTTTAATTTAAGTGATAACAGTAATTCTATTTCAAAGAAGTTAGATTACTTTAAAGATATCATTGCTGAAGTCTGACAAGATAATGGAGATTTAGATTTATTAGATTGGCTTACTTCATGGTTACCCAACTTTACTTGGGTCAAACAATTATTCATAGGTGGATATTTACTAATGCTGGGATTGTTATGTTGTGCTTGCTGTTCTCAATGTCTACCTTATTATTTTTTGACTCCACCAGCATTAAGCAAAAAACAAATATTATTAATCCAAAAAGGCCTTAAAAAACAAAAAAAAGGGAGCTGTAGGAGTCCTGTGTTTAGGATTGGGGTCCCTGATGACTTCAGGGCTGTGGCATGCTTGGTGCCTAGGAAAGTTTCTGTGCAAAGGCATAGTATGCCGAGTTGCTATAGTAATGCCCTCTATGCTGGAGTCTTATCAGTTCTACCTTAATCTTAGGCACATAACTCCTGGGAATAAAGACATTTACTTGCTTGATAACTACAATGTTTCACCAAGCTCTGGTGCTCCTGGATCTGCCTGCCTAACAGTAACTTCAGACAATAGACTTTCTTGAGAACTGCACAAAGCTCCTAACATTGCATATTATAACTGTGAAGTGTAATTACAAAATAAGCAACCTTACTGATACTCTAAACAATAATGTGGTTATGGTACTAATGACCTAATATAACCTATTGATTATAAAGAAAGTTTGGCTGCTTGGTCTCCCAGCCACTCTGCCACCTTCCCTGCCTCTGCATCTTGTCTCTGTTTCCTCTTTGCTATTGTTATTCTTTACAGGTGCCTGGTCTCTTTCATGGGAAATGGTGATGGTGAAGGTAGTGTTCCATTCAGTGCCTCTGCTAGGTAGATTCCCATGGAACTTCCCACCCAGAGCGGGGTGCCTAGAAAAGGCCTCTCAGTCTAGTCCCCTGCAGGTTGGACCTTGGAGAGTGAGGCCCTGATTTGAGATCTGGGAAACTGGCTCCTGCTATGTACCTGTGCCTGCTGGGGAGTTTCTGTCCCTGATGAAGGAGGAAGTGAGTACTGGGCACTGGTGTCTGGTGGGGCAGCTGGAGATCTAGGGGCTGGAAGTGGGAGAATTCCTGGGGAATAGTGAGGGCCCAGATTGCTAGGACCTGTCATCTGGGGTCCCATTGACCCTAGGCTTCTTGTGCCCTAATCTTGGTCTTGATTTCCCTGTGTGCATGGACTGAGACCATTGCCCACAGGTCCCCCAGACATGCCTTTGACAGATTCTCCTTTGTCATTCTCTGGAGACTGCCTTGTTAGGATTCAGCTGTCAGACCCTCCCTTGCCCCTGCCTCAGCTCTGCCCTGAAGCACCTGGTGCAGGCTCCAATGGTCCCATCCCCAGGGTCATGGATTGGAACCTTCACCTGCCTCACCAATAACATCTTCAGGATCAATTGCCACTTGTCTTCCCACACATGTGCCTTGGCTCGGGCCCCTGGCTCCTCTTCACCAGTTGAGTGGGAAGGTTGGGGTGGAAGTAGAGCCCCCCTGGAAGCAGCTCACCCTGGTGTTGATGCCTGGCCTTCCCAGCAACCCGGCACCTGGAAGCAAGCACAAATGCATCTTCCAGGGCAGTGCCTGCACCTTGGAGCTGCCCCCTGAGGAGGTGCTCTTGCCCTCTGACAACTTCACCATCACTCCCCACTGCTGTGTCTCTGGCAAGGAGCAGGTCAGCCTGGTGGACCCACAGTACCTGCCTAGGAGACATGGTGAGCAGGGGTGCCTTCCCAGGGCCAGTCTTGCTGCTTGGTGGGTGAGGGCAAGACCCTCAGCCTGTGACCCCTGTGGTCTTGAATCCTTGCCAAGGGAGACCTGGGGATGGAAGCAGATGATCCTGGGAGGGGATGGCCATGGGCTACTTACTGCAGGGCCAGGGTTTGGGCAGAGGATGAAGATGCAGAGCCAGCTGAGGTGGGGGCTGAGTTGGGTTCACATCACTAGGAATGCACTCCAGTCAGAGCAGGAAGGAGTCTAGAAGCAGAGTATGCAGGAAAGAGGAGCAGCATTGGGAAACCACCTTGCTACAGGGGCTAGGATAGTTGTTCTATCCCTGTCTTCCGGTGACTCCCCTGGTCTGAGAGAGGCTTCACCATGCATCTCAGGAATCTTAGTGCTCCAGATCTCAGTGTCCTGAAGGCCTCACATATCCATTGTGTTTCAATGAAGCTGGACCCTCCCTCTAACCTGCACAGCAAC